TTTGGGTCTTTCTAGAATCTTTGGTGTTAGGCCCAGATAACTCAATTAGATCTGCAGCTGCCCTGGCCCTCTCAGGTCTTGCCCTGACCCCCAGCCCTAAGGACCCCTCTTCCTTTGCCTCTCTCTCAAAAGTCTCTTTGACTTTGGGCTTCTATTGGGCCTATAATATACTCCCTAGCCTGTAAAAGCTCTTTCTACCTTTAATCATCTTCTTCACCAAGTGTTCAAATCCAGTTATTGGGCCCTGGTCTCTTTATTTCAAAATCTCAGATGCTATCTTTCTCCTGAGTTTTGGAATCAGCTCTTCTGGTGGTCTGAACTGACTCATTTTCCATAAGTGAGAAATTTCAGTCAGCTATTAATTTCTCATTTCTGGTTTGGGAGATATTCACATTTTCAGCTCAATGAAGAATCAAATCTTTCTAGCTTCTAGAGTCGAGCTCCTTCCCTAGTTTCTTCCCAATTATTCACCCATCAATTGCTTTCCTGATCTATATCTCCTTCTCTGCCTCAAGGACGTAGACTGTCTACAGCCTATGATTACAATAAGAGAAATACCTTCAATGTACAGTAACATTAATGTGGCAGATTCTTTCGTCCCTCCTCAGCATGTGAGAGGGCATGAAACCTGCTTGGTAGCATGAAACGATGGTTCTTTAGAAAAAACAGTAAACCTACCTACTTTAATTCCAGGATTTTTATTACTACTTTTGGCATATGCAAAGAACATGCTCACTCCTAGCTGGTTAACTCATTCTTTGTATAGTTTCTTTGGCAGAGAAAGCCACAAACAAGATAAAGTCTGGATACCAGGCTTCCTGAATCAAGATTTGCTTCAATGTTCAGATTGACAATATCTGGAAAACTCCGACATCTCAAATACCTTAATGTAGCAGCCACAGGTCTGGATTTTTAAGAAATTGACATGATTCATCTAGACATATTTGTGGGATTGCTTTGAAACAACAGAGACTTGCTGATTGTGACATTTTACATTTTTAATAGAATTCCTGGATTTCTCGTGTGTCATAGATTATTTTTATGTAACTAAGTAATGATTTTCCGGTACATAAATGAACAACAAGCATAAATATAAAATTCTCAAAAGAGGAAATAAGAAGTAAAAACATCTAATCAACATATGTTCAGTGTATGTGTTCAGTCTCATTAGTAATGAAAGAAATACAAATTTTAAAAACGTGTAATGGTGATTTACCTCTTTACTGAAACGAGCAAAGGGAAAAGCAATAGGAATCTAGAATGCTGGCTAGAGAGCAGTGAGGTGGGCCCTTTCACATTCTGAGGAAGGACAGAAGAGGGGTGGGTTTCCTGGGGTCTGTCAGGCTGCAAGAACTGGGGATATGCTCAGGTTACCTTAGGTGGCGGGAGTTTATTGAAAACATGACTGAGGAAGGAGGGAAAACAGGAGACATAATCCATCCTCAATGTCACCCAGAATGTTCTTCAGGACCTGAAGTCCTAGGAGTCTGACAGCACTTTTGTTCACTTAATAAGAACTCTAGTTTCTCCTACAGAAGCTGGCATCCATTGTTCCTTCCTCTAGTGCTCTGTCATAATGGTGACTCCAGATTCTTTCTGAAGCTTGACTCAAACTGGCTGAATCAAGAAAGGAATTTATTGGTTCTCTTGACTGGAAAGTCCAAGGGTAGGGCTTGCTCAAGTTAGCTGGATCTGTGGGCCTCAGTAGGGTTATTCTCTCTGTCTCTGTCTGTCAGCTCTGCTTTCCACTAGAACTAGAAGTGAAGATGCTTCACTTAGAGCAGGTTCTCTCTATGTGGTGGCCCCTGGTAGGCCACTTACCATCTTGAATCCTTAGTTTCTTCATTCCAGAAAAATGGAACTACAAGCCACCTACATAATTACACTGCGAGGATCATAAGATAGAGTATATATAAATGCTTTCAAACCACTACATTTCAGAGGAGTTTACTAGTTGTTATGAGCTTAGTGGCCTGCTTTGGAACAGTCCTTCTTTTAAGTTGACATCTATACTGTCCCTGTTTCTGACTGTTAATAAAATGGTATAGATTTTGTTGAGCAGGGCTATCTGGCAATTTGGCACATAGGAAAAAACATGTCATCCTCATTATCAAGAATATCAAGAATGAGAATCATTGCTATTCCTTTTTAAGTTGGCATTTGAAAAATAGAGTTCTGGGGCCCTAGGAGCCTGTGGAGGTGTCTCAGGGACCATAGTGTGTGTGTGTGTGTGTGTGTGTGTGTGTGTGTGTGTGTGGTGGGGGTGGAGGCTGAGAGGGTGGGGTTGGAAGACAGTTGGCAAGGACTGAACTGGTGGGGCTGTCCCACTTAATCAGAGCAGCCCTGCTTTTGTCTATTTCCTACATCATGATTCTGGGTAAGATTTGATATCAAAAAGGAGAGTAGTAATATGATCAAAATGGCAGCAACTTCGGCAGCAAAAGAGAAGAAATGAGCCAAATGCTGACATTAATTAGCTAAAAGCTAATGAAGACAGAACTGATTCAATCAATCAGAGCAAAATTGAACACCATTTGATCAAAATCTGGGATCCAATATAAGAAAAAATTGATCAATAATAGCCCGGTGTTGAAATGGCTTAAGCCTGAGGTGGACTCCCTCCTTCTCCTAGCTCACATCTGGGACTAAGGACACTGAGAAGCCTTTGAAATGGATGGGCTCAGCTGACCCTCTTACTCTGTGTGGTAGACAATATTATTAGTGTTTACCAACCTCTCCTTGCAGTTACAGAAGACTATGTAGCTAGTTCTGCCCAATGAAATGTGCATGGAAATGATGTGTGTTATTCAGCCCTGAGGTGGGGAAAGGCTGATACTTAATTGTCCGGACTACCTCTTTCCTGCCATGGTGATTCAGAAGGCCAAAAACTTCAGATGGATATACCTACAAGGTGAGGAGCCTCTGCCACTCTGAGTGCTGAGTGGCCATCCCGGACAGAATACCCTGCCTGTCCACAGTGGCTGTGTACAGTGAGCGAGGAGCAAAGCTTTGTGTTGCTACGCTTCTGATGTCTTAGAGTTGCTTTGTTACAGCACAGTAAACTAATATCCACTGGGAGGAAATTTGGAGGCTCCAGGAAGGTTTTTCTGGACAGGAAATTCATAGGGGCTGGCTGGAAAAGAGCAAAGCTAGGTCTATCGAGCGAAATGGGGGTGAAGAGAAGGCAGGGATAGTCATAACAGCTAGCTGAGGAAGCTGTGATTTAGTGGAGAAAACATGCACTTTGGAGTTCTACCTAGGGTTCCTAGGTTTGGAGAACTACCTAGGGTTCAAAATTAGGTTTCACTTTTTATTTTCTCTTTGACTTTGTTGCCAACCTCTCTCACTTTTTTCATCTATAAAGTATAATACCTACATTACAGGGTTGCAGAAAAGATGAAATTATACACACACATGCATATGGCCAGCATTTAGCACAGTATCTAACAGCTGGTAAGTAATCTATAAACCTAGGTGCCGTTCTTTCTGGCTGCTTCCCTCTGATACTATTTCTAAGCTTGGTAGTTGCTAAGTTTTGATCCCACAGACTCTATAACTGGGACTCTGTCAAGTTTAAAGCCCTCTCTCTAAGTTCTGCATCCCACATATTCCTGCTAGAGCTCTGAAACTGGAAGGGAATGCTGCCAAATCCTCTGTCTTATTGCTTTATTTGTAGTGCACTTGGACTCTGAAGAGGGAATCATGGCCACTATAAATGAGTCTAAAGTCTGAGCAAGGGAGAGCTTGTGAGAGAACAGTGTAGAGGCAGTAGAAGTGTTAACTTTCTCCTTACTGACTTCTCAGCTTCCTGGGCCAGGACCATGTTGACGCAAAGGCACTCCTGTTCCTGCCTTCTCAGTTGGCTTTTAGAGCAGCCTCCAGACTACTTGGTGCATTCAGCTCCTTCCATCCTGACCTTCAAGAAATATTTTTTTTAAAAATTGCGTTAGAAACTAAAGGGAAACCATCACATCCAAAAATGTAAATATAAAAGCAAAGAAATGCATGAGTTTACTGGACAAGAAGCTCTCATCTGAGCAAAGTGGGATCACTCACTGACACCCTGAAGGCCTTGGAGAGTGTAGCCATCCACTGACAGCCCTGCCACAATTGCTAACATGCAGAAATTCCCTGATCCCAAAGCCCCTCGTTTCTTGCTGAATTTTAGCGAAAAAACTTCCTTTGCTCCCACCCTGGTTGGGCCTGGGGACAGAGTGTTAATTTTATATCACAAAATGTCCTTGACTGGAGAGAATATGCAGAACAAAATATTATATTTTTCAAAAGGAGGGATAAGATTGAGAAAAGAAAGTTGACACACACTATTTCAGTGACTTGGAACACCAATTCTCAAAGGGAAGGCGGCTAACAAGGAAGTGGGAGGAGAAAGGCTGAATGTAGTAAGCAAACGGTCCCAGCGGACCGTGGTCCACTCACTAACCTGTAGCGTTTGGTGAGGGGGAACGTTTGTGTTTTCTTGGTGTGTTACCTCCTTTACCCTCAACTGTTTAAAGACCGGCTCTTTTGGCCGTTTCATCGTCTTAATGTTCTAAGGGGAGTGCAGAAAAGGGTCATTTGATTTGAAAAAGCAGGGGGAACGTTTAAACGTGGAGAGCAGCAAATCTTTGGGGTCCCTTCGAGATGGTGGGGAAGTGCCGGGCCCATCTACATCCCTTTCTTCCTCTGTGGGGTCTCCTAGCGGGACCCCTCTACACTGAAAGACCAGACAGGTCAGCTTTTTCAGCAACAGAGCTGTTCAGGGGTTCTGTTTCTTTCTGAGGCGGGCCATGAGGTCTCAGCCCATTTGCAGAAGCGAGATGATGGACACCTCTTGGGTTCAACGGGCGTCGAGCCCGTCTCGCTTGGGGAGAAGCGAGCTCTTGTCCAGCCGGCCGACTCTCCTCCAGGAGCACTGGCCATTTCCTTACGCCCCAAAGGCTAACCTCTTAAAACAAAACAAAACAACCTCCAAAGACACGCGCAGAGAAAATGATCGCTGTCAGAAAGCGGTGCTCCTCGTCGCCAGATCCCCACCGTATTGCAACCCCGCTGCTTCCCTTGCGTGCAGCGCTCCTTTGTGGATTCCCGTCTTGGGAACGGCGGTGTGCCTCACTCGGCCCCACTCCCGGGTTTCCTTCCCGAGCTCCCGCCTCAGCCCGGGGCTCCCCTGCGCCTGCCGCGAGGGCTCGGGCCCAGCGCCCCTCGCGCCCGCCTGCCGCTCCCCGGGCTCCACTTTCACTTTCGGTCCCGGGGCCGGCGAGGCAGGCGGCGGCGGCGGCGGCGCGAGGGTGAGCCGGCTGGGTCCCAGCCCCACAGGTACAGCGCGCTCGTCCCCAGCGCGCCCCGCGGGGAGGGGGCTGCGCGGCTGGAGAAGGGCGCGGCCCCGGCCTCCTCCCTGCGCCCGCCGGCGAGGCCCGAGGGCCCAGGGCGCAGGGAGGAGGAGGGCCAGAGGGCTGCGACGCTGGGAGGGGGAGGCGTGGGGCCTGGGCCCGCGTCCCGGGAGGGCGGCAGGGTCGGCGACAGGCCCAGCCCCGCTTGGGTCCTTCTCCACCAGGAGAAGGCTGGGGGCGCAGGTCCGGCGCGCCTGCTCCGCGCGCTCCCCCGCCCGCGCCCTTCCCGGCAGGCGGGAGCCTCCTTCTGCGCTCCGCCTTGCGGCTGGGTTCCCGCCGGCCGCCCGCTCCACCACGTTCCAGAGCAGGGCCAAATGGAGCGGTGGGTGGCCGGCGGGGTTCGGCCAAGTAGGACACCTTGCGGATAGTTGCCCGAGACACGAACGTGGCTTTGAGTTTACTCCTGGGGTGGGGGTGTTTTGGGACCGGCGTCCGTAAGTGTCCTCAAGATCAATTCTGCGCCTCCCCCACTCCCGCCCCCGCCCCGTTTCTCCTGTATTTCTTGCCAGCAATTATAGACCCTCGCTTCACTCTGGCTCTAGGTGGGTTTTATTCAGATAAAGCTCTCGTGTTTGAGCAAATTCAAGTTTCCTATCTGGGTATCTTGTTCGGCAGATGGGCCTGCAAGTTAATTTCATGAGGAAGGAGAAGAGCAGACACTTCCTTACAGTTTTCGTGGAGGTTTTTTGTGTAGGCCAGGTTCAGAAAGAAATGCTCTGTTTTCTATGAAATGCCCAGAGTATTTGCTCTCAACTCAGGATGTGGTCAACGATTTAAAAAATACTTTAAAAAAATTGGACAGAATTGTGTCTTTTCCCAAAGATTTGGAATTGTACTGATATGTAGCACATTTTCAGGTGGGCCTAAATAGAGAAATTTTAATATGTTAAAAAAAAACGAATTCAACATTTTTATTGTTTACCAGCAGTGACAAGCTATTATCAGTGTTCGTTAATTTCGTTGTTCAGAATGTTTTGGAAGAAAGTTCATTACCTCATGATGATGGATTTCACATTTCGTGGTGTCCCAATAAAGGGAAAGGTGAAATAACCCAGGACCAGTTAGCTCTGACCTCCTGTGTGGATGGGAAAAGGCAGAATCACCAAAGGCAGCCTACACAAGGTTCCTCAAGTATCTTGAACTCTTCCTGGCTGTGAAGCAAAGTTAGGTACTTTGTTGCTGTTGCACTTTCACTGACAACATTGTGAAAGATGCTTTAATAAAATTAGACGCCAAAGGAAGATACTTTGCTAACTTTAGAAGAATACAGTCAAGTACAGGAAAGGCTTTTAAAGCCCTTATTTCTGTGCTCTAAACCTGTGTATTCAACTGCCTGCTTGATATTTCCCCTCGGAGATCTCATAGACATCACAAATTAAACATATTTAAAAATGACCCCTTGATTCCCTCTCCACTCTTTTACATCTGTTCCACCTCTGGTCTTCTCCATCTCAGTAAATGGCACCTATGACTACTCAGATGTTCAGTCTAGAAACCTGGCAGCCATCCATATGTCCTTTCCCTCACCCCCCCCCCCCACTTCCAGTCTACCCTAAATATAGATGTTGAATCCATCCTCTGTCTCCCCCCCCCATCACTCTCTTGACACCACCCAGTATAAGCCACTAGCTTACTTTGTCTCGACTACTTTCTAATGGTCTCTTGCAAGACCTTCACTCTTGCTTCTTTCTTGCTCCACACTCTACACAACAACCGGGGTGATTTTCTTAAAGTGTTACCTGGATCTTAAGACTCTAGCTCAAAACCCAGTGGCTTCTCATTGCATTTAGGACAGGATCCAAAATCCTTAAGATGCCTACAAGGCTGCATGGTGGTCTGGCCCCTCTCCACCTCTCCAGGCACATCTTTCCTGTGGCGTGCTTCCAGTTCACTGGCCTTCAGAACCAGCACTCTCTACTGCCTCTGAGTCTGCAAATATGCTTGCTGTTCCCTCTGTCTGGAAAACTCTCCCTCTCCCTCTTTTCTTAGCTAACTTGAATTTGTCCTTTAAATCTCACCTAAAATATTTTTGGAGAGCCCCCAATGTACTTAGTCTGCCCTGTTATTCTCTTTCAGTATGTGTATGCTTTTTCCTTCATAGCCCTAATCATGGTTGGTAACTAGATATATATTTGTGTAAACTTGTTAAAAATTCCCCCCCCCACACACACTCTAAGCTCTTTGAGGTCAGGGACCTGCACTGTCTTGCATTGCTAGTGCCCAGCAAAACCCCTGGCACGTAGTAGGCCTTCAAGAAGTATTTGTGGAATGAATGATTGAAAATATTTTAACTCATTTAATCTTTACAACAATCCTGTGAGAGAGGTATTATTATTATCTCATTTTACACATGAAGAAAATGAAACTAGGATTAAATAATCTCCCCAAGGTCACACAGTAGGTGGCAAAGCAAGAACTCAAAGCCAAGTTTTCTTTCCTGACTGTAAGCCCAATATATATTTATTATTAATAGAGCTATAATTATATATGTGTATGTAGTCTCACATTTATGCTCTCTACATTACATGTTCCTTTTTGGTCTCTTGGAACTGCATCCTCCTTGAGACACAGCCATGTTCTCTTTGGCCCCTCCCCTCATGGACTCAACCCTATAAAGCCTTTGATGTGAGGTCCCACTGTCAACCCGTTCAGCAGCCCATGGGCTTTGCTGTCAGCTCAAAACCAGTTGGAATTTCCAGGTCTCCTCTTGGGCTGTTGGAGAATACTCCGGGACTTCCGGAGTCCAGGCAGGCCTGAACCTGCCACCTTCACTGCGCTCTCTACCATCTTGCAACACAGGCTGCACCCACTAAGCTACTGCCCTGAGAAATTCCAAGTGGAAGCATCACACAAGTTCCTTTTACTTCTGGTCTCCCGACTTCTGGGGAAATCCATCAGTCTGCCCAGCCCTGGGATTCTGCCTGAGGAGATGGGGGCAGGAACTCTACCATTTTGGTGTTTAAACTTTACTCTTCTCCTCCAAACTGCTCCAACCCTCCATGGCTGGAAGCATCGTTTAGTTGGTTCCTAGGCAAAAAACCAAGAAACAGAAAAACCTGTCCTCCCTCTTTTCTGTCTCACCTGGGTGGTGCCTTTTGAACTGGAATTATGGTGTCTCAGTGGTTGGCTATCTCTACTGTGTTGATATCCTTTCTGTTTAGCTCCCAGATCACTCCGAGGGGGAGGGAGAAGTAGATACCTTTAACTGTGTGTTTGGGAAGAGAGCAGGATGGAGAGTGAGGGGTAGGGAACAGCATATCAGTACTTACACAGGGTTCAGGGGATAAGACCAAGGTTGGCAAGGAGGTTCTCAACCTGGCTCTTCAATAGAGTTTCTGGGAAGTTTTTAAAAAAAATTCTGATGCCCTGACCTCACCACCATAGATTCCAGTTTAATTGTTCTAATTAGGTATCCAGGCCTCTGTCATTTAAAAAGCTTCCTAGGTGACATTGATATGCAGACAGAGATGAGAACCACTGACATGGAGGGAGAATCCCACGTACCACGATCATTTTAAGGGGTCCCCATTGCAGCATTAGTACCTTTCTCATCTGATCCAAATGACCAGGAGCCAGAGGAGTTTGAGGGAATTAGGGCCAATTACCTAAGCTCGCTTGAGAGGGGCCCCTCCTGGCAAGCACCCATTAGAGAAATGTCTTTGTCTAAGAGAGAGAAAGAAGTATGCTTGGTTCTGGGGGCATGGATTGCCAACTCCCTTAAAATTCACATTCCTTTTGTGTCCCGTGGCCTTTAAAATGAAGTGCAAAATATGGTCTGCAGCGTGTGTCCCAGCATGCTTGGAGCATACTCTTGGAGTCACTCCCTTCCTTGCCTGTGAATAATCGTTCTCCATCACGTTCTCCTGGGGTTCCCTTCTGTCCACGTCGATTGCCTGAATAGCCCTGTGTGTTCTCCCTTTGTGCTTTAGCTCCTGCCCTGGCTTGCTCCACCTGCAATGCTTTTCATGCCCTCCCTTCATTTCCAAATCCTACCTATCCTTCCAGACCACCCTCAAATGCTGGTCTTGCATGAAGGCCTCCCAGAGTCACTCTGCAGCCAAAGTCACTCTCTCCCAGATTATTATGGAAATAGCATTCCATTCTCCCCCAGCCTCTTCTGTTATTATTATTCCTAAAACACTCCACACTTTCTGTGTTGTATTTTGTTACTTCTGTATGAATGTTTTCTCCCTTCCAGATTTTGAGGTCCTTGAGGGTGGGATTTGTGTCGTGTGTAGTATTATATCCCACATAGCTCAGCACACAGCCTTGTAAGGAGCAGGTGTTCAACACCTACTTGTTGGATGATTGTAACAGACATGTAGGTGATTGATATGTTTGTCACAAACTATCGTGAAAGTCACCATAAACTTTTTAAGTCTTTCCTGGATAAATAAATATTAAATTAGCTTTTGGCATGACAATTTGACAGACACCACTGTTGTTAAAGGTTATCGTTATGGATACTTGCCTTTCTCCCCCATAGCTACTTAGCATCTAAGACTCCTTCCTACATTTCCTAAGATTTAGGAATTCTCTACTTTGTAAGCTTGGCGGGAAGCAAGGCCTGTCTCCCGCTGTAGAAACTGCGAAGTTCAGATTTTTGCTTTCTCCACTTTCCTGCCTCGTAGTGTGGACACCTCTTGGCTCTGACAACTGGAGTTCAAAGTTGGGAATTTGAAGCTGAAACAAGTAATGCAAAGTTGCAGGGGCGGTGGAGATCTGACGCTAGTGGTGGCTGCAGCAGTGTCAGCATCTGATCTCCAGGCAGTACGGTGGCTTCCTCCGAGGTCCAGTGTGGGTGGGGAGTGGTCACCTGATCAGATGTCCATCTTTGCCTGTTTCATGACCCTGGTTTCCCCAATGTCTCTGGCAACTCTCTGACCCATTTAGTGAGCTGCTCAGGATCCTCAGCCAGAGCTTGTTCTGTTATTTTCAGCTAAGACCCCTGACCGATAGAGTTAAGTTAAACTCTGAAGACCAAATGATTCTTTTTAGTAGGTGTTAATGATTGTTGCTAACCATCAACTTCTTTCTTCTATGAATCAATAACATAAGGAAGGTAATTTTACTTTCAAGAAAAGATCTAGTAGTTTTGAAAGTTTGATTCTCTATCTGCTAATTCTGGGTGGATACATTCTGAAATTATGCTGTCTTGATAATATTTTAATGACTCAATTTTTTTTCTTTTGCTTTTATACATTTGTGCCACTAGGTAGTCTGAGCAAGAAGATGATATCTCTGTCTGTCAAATGGCCACTTGGAACCATGTCATTTCTGCTTTCCTCACTGTTGATTCTCTTAACTCCTTCCTGGTGTCGGAGCAGTGAAGCTACTACATCTCCAAAAACTAGTGATGGGACACCATTTCCTTGGGATAAAATGCGGCTTCCTGGGCACGTCATTCCAGTTCATTATGATCTCATGATCCATGCAAATCTCACCACTCTGACTTTTGAGGGAACCACGGAAATAGAAATCAGAGCCAGCCAGCCCACCAGTACCATCATCCTGCATAGTCACCACCTGCAGATATCTAAGGCCACACTCAGGAAGCGAGAGAGGCAGTCTGAAGAACCACTGAAAGTCCTGGAATATCCACCTTGGGAGCAAATCGCGCTTCTGGCCCCCGAGCCTCTGGTGGGGGGGCTCCTGTACACAGTTGTCATCCACTATGCTGGCAATCTCTCTGAGACTTTCCATGGCTTTTATAAAAGCACCTACAGAACCAAGGAAGGGGAAGTGAGGTATTTTTTTTCTTGTTTTTTTTTAAGTTCCAACTGCTGCCCATACTAAATTTAATATTTAAGATGGATTGTCCTTTAAAATTCTTCTGATTGTTGAATTCTTTCTTTGGTTTTGCTTTTGCATCTTCTTCGTAGATTTCAAAATGGCCAATGGTTTTTTTCCTTGTTTTTTGGATCTCATTTTTCATTCTGTTTTAACCAATTTTCTTTCCTCCAGCTTAATCAGGGTAAATACCTATTTGTTTGTTTAATTAAATTTCTGGGACATAATAAACATTTTTAATTCTCTTGGCCTATGCATTAGTTTCCTATGGCTGCTCTAACAAAGTACCATAAACTGAGTGGCATAAAACAACAGAAATTTATTCTCTCAGTTCTGGAGGCTAGAAATCCAAAATTAAGGTGTCAGCAGGCAATGTTCTCCTTGAGTCTTGGAGTAGAATCCTTTCTTGCCTCTTCCTAGTTCGTGGTGGCCATCCTCCTTGCCATTCCTTGGCTTGCAGCTACATCACACTGGTCTCTGCCTCTGTTGTCATGCAGGCATTCTCCAAATTTCCCTCTTCTTATGAGGACACCAGTCATGTTAGATTAGGGCCAAACCTGATGGCCTCATCTTAACTTAATTACATCTGCAAAGACCCTGTTTCCAAATAAAGTCACATTCACAGATACCAGGGATTTAGACTTCAACATATCTTTCTGGAGGACACAATTCAACCCACAACAGTCTATCAGAAGAAATATTTGTCTCTCAGTTAAAACTCTTTAAGGGATCTTCACCTTCTTTGCTTTAGTTCTGTTTTTAAACAGATGACTTATTTTGGGAGATTTTATGCTAAATTTTAAAATCAAATTTTATTTGTTAGTAGATGATACTAACATTTTTCTGATTCCGTATTATTTTTTTGAGGTGAAGAAGTCATATGCTACCAGAAAAATGTTTTAAAAAGTAAAATTTATCCCAATTGTAGCCCTTAGAGATAACCAGTACTTTTATTTTAGGGGAACATTGGATATGCATACACATTATTTTATGTAAATGGAGCTATGTTATATTTTCTGTTTTACAAGGGAGGGTTTTTTTTTTTAAATAGGTTGAGGAGTTGTTTTATATGGATGACTATATACTCACTATATACTCACTATACATCATTTTAATGGCTTTATTAAAATGTATGTTTTGAATTGATTTATTTAACTAATCCCCCATGGTTGGAGATTAGGTTATTTCCAGCTTTTCAGCATTAGTAACATTTGATGAACATCTTTTTAAATGATTTCTTTAGAATAAATTCCTAGAAGTAAAATTGCTAAGTCAAAGGGTCAACAAATTTTTGTTACCCCTCGTCGTATTCCTTACCTCTAACCAATACTATCTCCCTTTAATTTACGTTGCACTGATTATTAAGGAAGTTGAGCAGCGTTAGATATGATTATTGACTATTTGTAGGTTCTTCTTTTGTGAATTGCCTGTTTATGACCCATGCCTCCTAGTCTCCTTGGTTGCTGGGTATATTCTTACTCATTTCCAAGAGCTCCTTATCTGTTAAGGCTATTAACCCTTTGTCAAATACCTTTCAATCAATTTTCCCAGATTTTTACTTGTCTTTTAGTTTAGTTTACGATAGCTTTTGTCATATAAAAGATTTTTTTAGTAGTGAAATCTATTAATCTGTGGTAACTTTAGGAATTAAAAACAAACACACACCTATCTTAGAGTCCCTGATGCTTCATATTGTATTTTTATTTTGCTTGCCATAATTTTAGGATACTTGCATCAACACACTTTGAACCTACTGCAGCCAGAATGGCCTTTCCCTGCTTTGATGAACCTGCCTTCAAAGCGAGTTTTTCAATCAAGATCAGAAGGGAGCCAAGGCACCTCGCCATCTCCAACATGCCGTTGGTGAGTCTGAACTGCACATCTACTCACGGGAGAAATCCACTGATTCGCTGTGACTTGCATTGCCCCAGTGACAGTTTACATTCAGGTCACCTGTTTTGTTTTGTTTTATTGCCTGACAGATAGCTAACTTGTCTTTTTCATTTCCAACCTATGCTTTTGTTTCAAGCAATAATTTATTTGTAGTCAAAGAAAAAATTGTTCCTAGAAACATGCAAGATTTCAGTAAGATTGACATTCTAGGTCATCAGTGCTGTTGGAAGGAAAGCTCCATAAGGAATTCAGGTCAGGTTTAAAAGAGAGTGCCCTTCACAAAGCACTTCCACCTTCATTTTCTCGTATGATCTTTTAAAAGAGTTTTAAAGAGAATGCTTTATCGAAGAAGGCCATATTTCTAGTATACAGTTATTTTTTATAATTTCTATATACTATATACTAATATTAACTATACAATTTGTAACTACATGCATGACATTGGGCAGATAGAAAAAGAAAAAGAGTAATCTTTTCAGAATACTATGGTACTAAAGATAAGTAATGATAGATAACTCAATTCTCTTTAAAGAAACCATTATCCTCCAATTCCAAAGCAGATGTGGACAGTGCTCCCTCTGATTTTTAAAATTGGTGAGGAGATGACCATGCCCAATGAATGAAACTGCTCAGTGCCATTATCCTATATTCTGGCAGCTTAGAAGAAACATCAGCTGGGCTGTCATTCTGCAACTGATGCATACCAACTCCTGAAGCACACGTATCCTTTGTTCAGAGAAGTTCACTGTGGATGAGACTCAGCGGGGATAGGCTTTGCCCATTCCTGTCCTGAAGGGTGTCCCGCCTCATCCTTGTGCTGACCAGGGAGGCAATATCATTGCATGAAGGGACTCAGAGAACCACAGAGCAGCCTCTATACAGTACTTCTCAACCTTTAAAACTCTATATTCCTAGCTGAAAATCTGAAGGATCCCTTCCTCAAACAAGATTCTGACAGGCCCCATTAGAGGGCTGTCCCCTGTGAAAAGCGCTCTTCTGCAAATCCCTACCAGCCAAGAACTTTTGTCTCCTCCACTCCCACCACATTTGTATATGAAAAGACAAGAAGGAGTTATGCCATTTTTCTAATATGAATTTGAGATAGAGAACACACTTTTTCAGATGATAGTTCCCTCCTCCAATATTGTGGTATTGCTCCCTGGGACTGGAGTGAGTTCTCTGATTAGAGAATTACAGCTTTAGGAGGATAAAGGAACAGGGATGGGATGAAAACGAGGGAGAGACTGGCTGACTAAATAAGATTTGTGGAGAAATTCGTAGGCTTCTAGGGGGAAGGCCTGGAGCTCCTGAGGCATCATCCTGGGGATAGGAAAATCTCTAATGTAAACCTGCCTTTGGATAGGAAAGCCCTCCCCTTGGCAGAAATCTAATAGGAGAGGCCTGAACTCAGGCTGCAGACGTGGAGTTGAGGGGGAGGACCATGAGGTCTCAAAGGATCTTTTTGGAGGCGAGAAAAGCAAATATACCATTGGAACATGCAAGTGTTAGAGGCACGAGTTAATCACATTTAAATTCGTATTAGTTTAATTAGCTTACTTTCCTAATCATTAACACAACTTCAGAAATGGAAATTTTGGTTAGGACTGGGTAGAAGGCATTTTAAAAAGAAAAGGTAATTTGGGGTCCTTCAAGAAAAAACCTAGGTTGGCTATCATAGTCAGGGTTTGAATGACCAAAAAGTGACCAGCACGCACCGTAGCTGGTGGCTGGTGGGTATTAAGAAGGATGGGGCACAGAGAAACAGGTGGAAATAAGATTACAGGAAAAATGCCTGTATTAATATAGAGTTCCCCAGGCTGGTTCTGGCTGGTCCCTTCTCCAAGATCCTGCCCCGGGGCTTATGCTGGCTGAGGTATGAGACTTTCTTCTTTGGGAGCAGACCTCTTAGACTATCCCTCCGTCACCCCCACCCCACTCTGCAAGGCTCCTCCCTGCTTGCACTAAAAAGCTGGTTCCAATGAAGCAAATCAGAGTTTGGAGGAGGCTTTGCAGGGTCAGGCCCAGGCATGGGTTACTATCAATTGTTTAGGAAAATAGAAGCTCATTGCTCTTTTTGGGTTGTACATGGTTACATATTTGCCTGGTGTAGAAAACAAATTAGACGTTGCATTTTCAGATCATTCCCATACCTGTGTTTTAGGACAAGTGGACTACATCTTGGCAAAACCAGCAATCTCAGTTTTGCTTTGTCCCATCCATGTTATCAATCCTCATGTACCAAATATGAGTCAGTTTGTGATCATTTGGAATATTTAAAAGAAATTAAGTGGTGATGGTTGTACAACTCTGTGAATACAATGAAAAACTACTGAATTGTATACTTTAAAATGGTGAATTTTATGGTATATGAGTTACATCTCAATGAAAAAAGAAATTGAGTAGAATGGTTTGGCCTTAATATCTAAATTACAATCAGATATTAGAAATCTTAAAATAATTATACAAATGTCATGCCATATATTTTCAATATTGTGTCTGGTAGTTAGAAAATTTCTCTTTCTAAAATGTTTTCAATGTATTGGATAATTGGATTATTTGATGATTGAAGTTATTCTGATTTTAGGTTAAATCTGTGACTGTTGCGGAAGGACTCATAGAAGACCATTTTGATGTCACTGTGAAGATGAGCACCTACCTGGTGGCCTTCATTATTTCAGATTTTAAGTCTGTCAGCAAGATGACCAAGAATGGAGTCAAGGTGAACTTGTCATTGTCACAGAGGGTGACCAACTTGTCCTGGTTGCCTGGGGCTGTCCTGGTTTTAAAACTGGAAGTCCCACATCCTGGGAACCCCCTCACTCTCAGGCAATTCCGGATGGCTGGTCATCCTGTGGTCACAGATACTCATATTTACAGTGAGGCTTTAACAAGAAAACCATGTGGAAAGGCTTGGCCTGGGTCATGGTCCTGGCTTCACCACTGCCTGGCTTTCTGACCATGGCCCCGCTCCCCCTGGAACTTAGTTTATACTTTAAAATGTCTAAGTTGGACTAGATCCTGCAATGGTTTCTAAGGTTGCTTCTGACTATAACTTTCTGCATTTGGAAGTGAATGCCACTGACTATCTGAGCAGGGACTTCTGGCCATGGGAAGGAAGTAAGATAGAGATTCTGCTTGGAGGATTAAATGGCTCTGGGAAGGGAATACTGGAATCCTGGAGAAAAAGATCTTGTTTCAAGGAGCACTCGCCCCTTGTCTGGGCACCATAGTCAGCAATCTATACAACTGTATGCTGTGGCTCTAAATGCAAATAAGTTTTTTGGAGAGGAGGGGCAGGACACTTTATTTGACGATACCTCATTTATTTGTGCTGGTTTTCACTGAGGCCCGAATAGTTAGAGTTTCTCTGCTGAACTGCCGTTTGTTCCTCTAGGGCTGAGGCTTCTTATCCTTGTGGAGATATGTCTACTTACCTGGGGATTTGAAGGTGATGCTTGAGACTTGGATGTAGGGAGCAATCTAAATTCAGCAGTGAAACTGTCAGCAAAAACACCCACTATTGATTTGCCCACTTTTGTGAATCCTTTATGAATGATTCTTTTTATAATGTCTCTTCCATACTGTGATATTGTGACTTATGATAAGAAATATATATTTGGTCTTTGTCCCAATTCTGGCACAGAGCTCCTAAAACCCTTAGAATTTTCTAAATGATGAGAGCAATAAAGGTGCCTATGCGTCTCTTCCATGTGGCTATTCCTGGGTTATATCCTTTTATAATGAACCAGTAATTTACTAAGTAAAATGTTTCTTTGAGTTCTGTGAGCTGCTCTAGCAAATTAATAGAACCCAGGGAGAGGGTCATGGGAACCTGCAATCTATAGCTGCTTGGTTAGAAGCACAGGTGACAACCTGGACTTGCAATTGGCGTCTGAAGTGGGGGTGGGGGCAGTCTCGTAGGACTGAACCCTTAATCTGTGGAATCTGATGCTATCTCCGGGTGGATAATATCAGAATTGAGTTGAATTGTAGGACGCCCAGCTGGTGTCAGAGAGTTGCTTGGTGGTTGGTTGGTAGTGTGGTGGAACTCTCCCCCACCACACACACCCACATTGGAATTGGGTCCCAGCATCCCTTTTATATACTAATATTTTTAGTCCTTTTATTTCTTTAAACACATTAATCATACATTTTATGTTCTGTGTCTAGTGATTGTCATATCTAAAGTCTTTGTGTATCTGGTCTGTGGTTTATTGTTTCCACTGGCTCTTGCTCACCGTGTCTTCTTCCTTTGCGTATATTGTGAATTGTGTCTGTGAACTTAGATTACCTGCGTTGAAGGTAGATTCTTCCAGAGAGAATTTGTGTTTGCTTCTGTCAGGTGACTGGGAGTAGTTACCAGCCCAGGGACCACTTTAAATTAAATTATTGGCTTCAGATTTTTGAACCACTTGGTTATTGTGAGTCCAGCTGCTAAACAGCATTAAGGTTAGCTTTTAGCTACAAATTCTCTGAGGAGATTCTCCCCCATACAGTACCAAGGTTTGAATAAGGCATTTTTTCCCTTGCAATCTCCTTGAGGAAGGGGGTGGTTGTTTCTAGTTTACCCCCTCAGTAAGGGTGTGGTCCTCTGGGGTCCAGCTTTATGCAGGGGTGCATCTCCTGTTAGACTTCCCACCTTGGGCAGGCTCTGGACTTTGTCTCCTGTCCCCTGCGTTCTTCAACGCCATGAAAACCGAAGCTCCAGTCCATCTGTACTGGGCCAGTGTCCTCGGGGCAAGAGCTGGCTGCAGTGCTCTGCTGACTTCTGAGAGCCCTACTGTCACTTCATTTTTGGCATCTAAGTCTTTACTTTTTCACTGTCTCATGAAAACATTTGAAAAGACATTTTTGTATGTGTTATCCAGCATTTATAGTTGTGTTCAGAAAGGGAGCTGGTCAGGAACATAGTCGGCATTAATACAAGGAATAGAACTTCCAGTCGTCGTCTTTCATATTGGCAGCCACATCCCACGGTGTGCACTGTTAGTGTCAGCTCCTGTGCACTTGTGGAGAGAAGCCACTACGGCATTTGAATAACTTTCTTGTGCCTTTCTCTTCAGGTTTCCGTCTATGCTGTGCCAGACAAGATAAATCAGGCAGATTATGCACTGGATGCTGCGGTGACTCTTCTAGAATTTTATGAGGATTATTTCAGCATTCCGTATCCCTTACCCAAACAAGGTAGAGATTTTGCACAGATATTACAAATTGTGGCATCTAATGACCCCAGCCAGAGATTATATCCTCCTAATTGGCATACCCATGGTTATCTCAGCAGCTGGTCAAGTCACTAAAACCCTAGCAGGTTTTTCTCACCCCTGATCTATACAATAAATTTCTAATGAGAGTAAAAGTAGATCTTGATACAGTTCTGGAGGCACATGGCATGGTGGTAATTTTGCCTTCTGACTTTAAAGATAAACCCACCTATATTAGTGGGCAGACAGCAAAGGGCAGAGGCTGCCTTTTTTCCATTATTGGCACATATGTGGTAGAACATTGAGGATACTCAGTAAATTATTTTGAAGGAATAAATTTATACAGCATAAGAAAATCTCCGTTTTCTTTCTTACATGAGCCCTTAAAACTATTGTGTGTTTGAGTTTTTTGGTGTATGGGGGTCTTGGGCATCCAAAGTCGAAAGCACTATTGAGGAAATTGTTAAGATTATTCAGTCCCCAAACTCCTTGTCAGAAAGTCAGAAATGGTGTCAGGAGGACTGAGACCCAAGTCTGACTGTCACGTCGCAGCAAAGTGACTCTGAAAGAGTATTGAGCCCCTTTTTCTCCATTGTGAAAGGTTCTTCCAGTCTAGAATTCCACGGATCTGCATTGACGGCTTAGCTTTTCTTTTGATCCCTACACCCGTCCACTCTGAAAGGCACTATGGTTGGGCAACGTGTAGCTTAGAGCCTGGTAATGTATTTTTGTTTCCTTCCCAAGATCTTGCTGCTATTCCTGACTTTGAGTCTGGTGCTATGGAAAACTGGGGACTGACAACGTACAGGGAATCTTCTCTATTGTTTGATGCTGAAAAGTCTTCTGCATCAAGTAAGCTCGGCATCACGATGACTGTGTCGCATGAACTTGCCCACCAGGTATATAAGCTCAATCACACTTTTTTTTTTTATAATTTTATTTATTTATTTATTTTTCCCCTCAAAGCCCCAGTAGATAGTTGTATGTCATAGCTGCACATCCTTCTAGTTGCTGTATGTGGGACGTGGCCTCAGCATGGCCGGAGAAGCGGTGCATCGGTGCGCGCCCGGGATCCAAACCCAGGCTGCCAGCAGCGGAGCACGCGCACTTAACCGCTAAGCCACGGGGCTGGCCCCAATCACACTTTTTAAAAAATGAAGTTAAACTACATCTGTATTGCTTTTATGGGACATCTGAGGCTATTCATATTGATATCTGAATTGTATGGATTCATTTTTACTTTGTCTTTTTTTCCCATGGGAAAAATTATTTCTTTAAAGCATTAGGTACCATGTTTTATAGTGCATATTGAAAGGTTTTTCTTTTTACTTTGATAAAATATTCCATAAATATGTTAAAATTCATATACCGGCATTCCACATATAAAATATATTTCCTTCTGAATGCCTTGTTTATGGCTGCATAATTAATCCAGTCTCCACAGAAATGTGTGAATAATCTGGGTAATGTCTTCCTTTCAGTGGTTTGGGAACCTCGTCACTATGGAATGGTGGAATGATCTTTGGCTAAATGAGGGATTTGCCAAGTTTATGGAATTCGTGTCTGTCAGTGTGACTCATCCAGAACTGAAAGTTGTAAGAAGTATTTACATTTTAGCTTAATCTGTCATTTTGTTCATTGTTGCTGAAAAATATTTATTGATCTTTGATTATAGAATTCATAGAAAGATTAATAACTTCCCTAGGAGTTTAGATATGAATCAGGTTTCCAAAATGCTAGTGAACTTTAAAGACATATCACAAAGGCTTATTTCCAAACTGGACTGCTTATTTCCGCATCTATGATTGTTAAGAAATTAAGTGTTAAATTTTGTCCTCCCTTTATATCCAAGAAATAGAAATAATGACAGCCTGTCTATTCTATGTCATTTCCCCAACCTTCAACCTGCTCACTGAAGAAATAGTAGGTACAGACTGCTATTATTTCAATAGGATCCTACGTGCCAAATCGAATTATGCTTAAGGTAACTGCATATTTGATTGTATATGAACCTAGACTCATGGGTCACAAGCTTAATGCTTTGGAACCTCTACATGTTTATTTTAAAAATCATGTGTTTAACTTGTAAAAATCACATGCAGTAGAATTAAAAAGAAACTTACTTTTCGTAAAAACAATCCTTTACTCTAATGATTTTCCGTTGTGCATATTCATTCCCATTTTCATCTTCCTGTACACATAATTTATACATAGTTATAATTATAATGTACATATAATTATTACACTGCAATGGATCATAAATATTTTCCTATATTTCCACATAGTCTTTAATAATAAAAATGATTATGTATGCATATTATTCTATTGGGTAATATACCCTAATAAATCAGGTTATAGTTGGAATTTGTTCTCCATTATTTTTTCTTTCACTACATGGTTTTAAAGCTAAATTTCTTTGCTTTAAAAAAGTATAAATGATGATTGGAGATGTTGAAATCACTACACATTTTAGTTTCTTGTTTTGGCAATGTTTGGCTGTAGATGTAATGGTTTTGTTTTTAAGTTAATATGAAATTTTCTTTATTCTAATGTGATAAGTATTTAAGATGAACAAAATTTAAAATGTTTACCTAAAATCATTGTTTCTTGGATGCTCTTTAGAAGAGAGTAATTTTATTTTATTTTGCAAATTATAAATGTGGAATAGGTTGGACCAAAAATTTGAAGTACAAACCTATTACCCCAGATAAAACCTTTCTACTATCATATTTTTCATCTAAATATAAATCATAGATGATGTTGTCTTTTTTTCTGTCTCAATAGCAAGATTATTTCTTTGGCAAGTGCTTTAGTGCGATGGAGGTTGATGCGTTAAATTCCTCACACCCTGTGTCCACACCTGTGGAGAATCCTGCTCAGATTCGGGAGATGTTTGATGATGTTTCCTATGCAAAGGTAAAAATGGATTATAAGGGTACCGTTTGGATACTAAACTTATAAATACTAGGGTGGAGAGGTTATAGGTAGGGTTGTGGGGTGGCTTCCCTTCATAAAGAGCAACCCAGATTGAATGCCTTCGATTCTGACCCATGCTGGCTCGAGTTAACTCTTTCAGGCCTAACTTGCAGTTGGGCTTGTAATCCTAAAGATTATATTATAGTGAGTTCTTCATTTACACTGTTGTAAGTTGAAAGTTCATGGCCTACAGAAACTCTGCCTTTTATCATTCAACAAACAGAGCTTGATTGAGCATCAGCTTTGTACCAGGCAAACATTCCTGCCCTTGTGTAGCTTCCCTTTCAGTGCCTTCAGGAACCGTTTGTATTGTTGACTGCAAAGTATTGTCCTGCACAATGTGTTTAATAACAGAATTGGAAAGTGTTGCCAACATTTAACAACTGGGAGATTTCATACAAAAGGCTGATTTCTGGCTTCTCTTGGTGGGGGGGGGCGGGGAGGAGGATTCTGGTCATACTGGGCCTGTATTTCCCTTGGCAACGTGGACTGGAGCTAAGTTGTGGCTCCGTCTTTATGAGACCAAGGTTCTGCTTTTCCACTTCCCCTTTCATTCGCAACTATTTCTATTGTGGTCTCACTGAGGCAGAGAATGTGTCATTTATCATTACTCTTCTCTGTCTTATTTGTAGCAAACAGAAAAGTATTTCTTGCTTGGATGTTTCCATAACAGTGCAGGGGAGATAAAAACAGACATATAAACAGACCTAGATTAGTGGAACAGAATAGAGATCCCAGAAATAAACCCATGCATATATGGTCAATTAATTTACAACAAAAGAGCCAAGAATATACAATGGGGAAAGGACAGTCTCTTCAATAAATGGTGTAGGGAGAAGTGGACATGCAAAAAATGAAATTGGACCACTATCTTATACCACTCACAAAAATTAACTTGAAATGGATTAAAGACTTAAACGTAAGACCAGAAGCCATAAAATTTCTAGAAGAAAACATAGGGAAAAAGCTCCTTGACGTGGGTCTTGGCAATAATTTTTAATACATGACACTAAAAACACAAGCAAAAAATGTTAAACAAGTGGGACTACATCAAACTTTCTTCTGCACAGCCTAGGAAACCATCAACAAAATGAAAAGGCAAGCTATGGAATGGAAAAAATATTTGTAAACCGCATATCTGATAAGAGGTTAATATTCAAAACACATAAGGAACTCATACAACTCAATAACAAAAAAATCCAATCTGATTAAAAAACAGGCAGAGGAACTGGATAGACATTTTTCCAAAGAAGATACACAGATAGCTAACAAGTACATGAAAAGATGCTCAACATCACTAATCATCAGGGAAATGCAGATCAAAACCACAATGAGATAGCACCTCACACCTGTTAGAATGGCTATTATCAAAAAGACAAGAAATAATAAGTATTCCTGAGGATGTGGAGAAAAGGGAACGCTTGTGCACTGTTGGTGGGAATGTAAATTTGTACAGCCACTATGGAAAACAGTAAGGAGGTTCCCCAAATAATTAAAAATAGAACTACCATACAATTCAGAAATTCCACTTCCGGGTATTTATCCAAAGAAAACAAAAATTCTAACTCAGAGATATATACAGCCCCATGTTTATTGCAGCATTATTTACAATAGCCAAGCTATGGAAGGAATCTAGGTATCCATCGATGGATGACTGAGTAAAGAAAATGTGATATATACATATATAGCCATAAAAAAGAATGAAATCTTGCTATTTGTGACAACATGGGTGGACCTTGAGGGCATTATGCTAAGCGAAATAAGGCAGACAGAGAAAGACAAATATGGTATAATCTCACTTATACATGGAATCTTAAAAAACAAAAAAACAAGCTCATAGACACAGAACAGATTGGTGGTTGCCAGAGGCGGGGTTGAGGGGTGGGCAAAATGGGTTAAGGGGGTCAAAAGGTACAAACTTCCAGCTATAAATAAGTCATGGAGATGTAATGTATGGCATGGTGACTACAGTTAATAATACTGTATTGTGTATTTGAAAGTTCCTGAGAGTAGATCTTAAAAGTCCTTATCACGAGAAAGAAAAATTTGTAGCTGTGTATGGTGACAGATGTTAACTAGACTTATTGTGGTGATCATTTCACAATATATACAAATATCAAATCATTGTTGCACACCTGAAACTAATAGTGTTATTTGTCAACTGTACCTCAATAAAAACAAATTAAGAAATAATATACCAATCCTATTGGCAATGATATGCACTCCATGTAGATATTCAGGGATCCAGGCTCTGCTTATCTAGTGACCCCACCATCCCCTAGAGTCAGAGAGAGAGACTGCCTCTACCTTGAGGGGACCCAAGAAATTCTCCCAGAAGAGGGGATTTCAAGTTATGTCTTAAAGGATCAATTGGGGCTTTCCAGGAAGAAAAAGAAGTAGGAAGGGCTTTCTAGGAAGAGGGAATCATGATTTCTCAGAAAAAGACGATTTAAAAGAGGGTGGTACGTTGAAAGAGAGTTCTTGCTTGGAAAGTTGTATTTAAAAAAAGTACAGGGGGAAAATAACGTAAAAGCATTTTTCTTACCCTTGGACTACTTCCCTTGTTTACGTCACTTGTCTGGCCACTGGAGGCATTTGAGTTTGTGACCTGCGATCTACGGTAATGGGAGTGGAGGGGGAAGAGCTCTTAACACAGGAATACAGGATATCTAGGAATTCTCTTGCTCCCTTTGTCATTGTTACTCTTGGCCTCTCAGTCCCCTGTGCTCAAGGCTCTCGGGTCTCCGCCATTCCTTCCCTGGCACTCACCTCTGCTTCCACCTTTTGTACTTACCTCTCCCCACTCCTCCCCCGCAGTGGAGTGGGAAAGCCGCATGGTGGTTCAAGGTCCAGTGTTTAATCTGCACCATTGTCCACTCACCTGTGAATAATGGGAGCTGGCAGATGATATTCATTTGCCCCAGGGGAGGCGTGGTTACTGATAGAAAATAACGGCCCCACTGGACTAAGAGCATGAACTGTCATGTCCCATCCCCCTGCCTAGACAACTCCAGGTTTAACTCACTTTCTCTAATTGTTTCACAAATCGTCAGACATGAAAAACATTACTATAGTTGCATTTTAAAAGAATTATTCCAAAATCAAGTGTGATAGTAGATTAGATTGAGACCAAACCACAGCTAACAATTATTTATATTGTCTTTTCAGGGAGCTTGTATTCTTAATATGCTAAGGGATTATCTTAGTGCTGATGCATTTAAAAGTGGTATTGTCCAGTATCTCCAGAAGTATAGCTATAAAAACACAAAAAATGAGGACCTGTGGAATAGCATGGCAAATGTGAGTATGTTTTGTGTGTCTCTACACTTGGGGTTGACAGGCTTATTATCTTGTGGGGGTTTTTTTCCACATTTTAATCCCTCTGAGAAGAATCATGAGTGTTCTCTGCAGAGCTGAGAGTGATGTGTTTATTTTCGGTTTTTAGATTTGCCCTACGGATAGTGCACAAAGGATGGATGGCTTTTGCTCTAGAGGTCAACATTCATCTTCATCCTTAGTAAGTTTGTACCTCTGTACGCATCACCCCTAGGCACCTTCTTTTACTCCGTATTTGTTGAAGGATAGCTCTGTGCCAAACATTCTGATGTCCTTGCTTATATCACCCTCCCTCTCCATAAGACTGTGTTCAAACTATACCAGACTGACAGGCTTTTACAATTTTTCTTAAAAATTATCTACACAAGGGATTTTCACAGCCTTCTTTGGTAGCACGTCTCACTGATACTAATTTCTTTGGCTTCACTCTCTGTAAAGTAGCGAATTTATGACATGTTTCTGTGGGAGATTAGGGCTGTATCAGTCAGGCTAAGTCAGTCATTTCCATGGGTCCTCATTTGTGGAAAAACAAATAATGACAGCGAGCATTCTGGAGCACTTACTGTGTGTCAGGCACGTGCTAAGCACTTTGTGTATTATCTCCTATACTCTTCACAATACACTTACGAGGGGGGTACTATTATCCCTATTTTTACAGATGAGAATATGAAATCCAAAGGCATATGGTTGGTAAATTGCAGACTGGGGATTTGAATTTAGATCTAACTTATGTTTTTAACTGCTAAGCTATAAAAAATTCATAACATCTGAGTCACAAAACAGTCTGAGTCTCTGTTTATCTGGACTTCTAGAATATTTTCATAGGCAGCTGAGGGTGAGTCTGGAGATTCAACAATATTTTATCCACCATATTTTAATTTTCTTAGCTTTTTTGTTTTTGGAAATGGCTTTATTCAATTGTTTCTAGATTTATCCAGTAACATATTTTATCCTTTTACTAGCTCTTAAATATTTTTTTAAAAACTTTTTTATTGTCAAAGAATATATCCTCTTTGGCGTTCACGGCTGTTTGTTGAGTGTGGGCCATCTTGGTGTTATCACTTTGGATGTATAGGATCTTGACTGAACATTTTTTCCCATCTTGCTTGTCTGAGATCCAGCATAGTTATGCAGGTGTTGAACACCTGGCCACTTTCTCTTCCTTCTCTACCTTCATTCATTCACATGCCTGCTTTGTGCCTTGTGCCAAGCCCAAGATATGCCCAGTAGAACCAGATATGGTACCTGCTCTCAAGACATACATGTATAAAAGAAGAGAATGAAAAGTAAACAGTTGGCGTTCTAATGGACGTGCTATGGCTGGAGACAATGGGAGAAGGGAGCAGAGGAAGGGATAAGGGAGAGCTTCACAGAGGAGGTTGTCAACAGTTAGCAGCCCTGTGAGCACAAGCTTGGGTTCTCTCTCTTCTTAAAGCGGGTCTAAGTGGGTCATGCATCTGCCTTTCTCTGTATAAACCAGCACTGGCGACAGGAAGGCCTTGATGTGAAAACCATGATGAACACCTGGACGCTGCAGAAGGGCTTTCCCCTGATAACCATCACAGTGAGAGGGAGGAACGTACACATGAAGCAAGAGCACTATATGAAAGGACAAGGCGATGCCCCAGAAACTGGGTAATGTTCCTAGAGAAAAACTCCTTTTATTGCCTAGGTAACGTCTGCCTTGTACGATGAAACCTTATTTTTGAAATACTGCCCTTACCTTTATTGCTAAAATATTTCAATCCAATCTATGTATCCTATGAAGTTGACTTATATACCACCATCTTCCCAAAAGGATGAGGTGGCTTTAAACCTTGGTTCATCTCAGTAAAGCTGATGATATATAATTATTTTAACATTCTCATGTTTTGCAGTTTGATAGGATGGCAATTTCCAGTTCCTGGCTTGGAATCAGCTCCAATCTAAGCAACTGCCGCTCAAGTACAATAGTGTCTGGCATTTGGGTTGGAGTTAAGGATATAAACATTTAGGTGATTTCTGGGCATTACAACTCGTCTCTTCTTTGAAAGTCTGAGTTAGATCCTGGAACCTGTTTGTCAGCTTAATGCTACAGAAGGACATCACTGGAAATGAGCCACTGCAGCTTCATTGACCCTGGATGGACACTATTTTAAAAAATTTTATTTTGAAATAATTTCAGACTTATGGAGATGTTGTAAGAAGAGTGCAAAAAGTTCCCATGTATTCTTTACCCAGATATATACGTTAACTCTTCACCACATTTGCTTTATCATTCTCTTTTTCTCTCTATATATAGAGAGAACTTAAATATTCTCTATATATAACCTAAAATGTCAGTTCAAAAAATCATGTGAGCGCACGCTCTCTCTCTCTCTCTCTCAGGCTATGTATATAGTATATATTTTTTAACTGTTTGAGAGTAAGTTGGAGACATGAGGCCCCTTTACCTTGAAATACTTCAGTGTGGTATTTCCTAAAAAACAGGAGCATTTACTTATTTAACCACAGTACAATTATCAAAATTATGAAATGAACTAGATACAATACTATAATCTAATCTATGAACCTTACTCAACTTTTTCGATTGTCCTAATAATATCTTTATAGCAGCAGAAGAAAAAATTCTGGTTCAGGGTTCAGTATAGGATCATATTGTGTTAATTGTCACATCTCTTTAGTTCTTTTTTTCTGAAACAGTTCCTCAGTCTTGTCTTTCTTGACCTTGACATTTTTGAAGAGTACAGGCCAGTTATTTCATAGAATGTCCTCCAGTTTGGGTTGTCTGCTGTTTCTTCATGATCAGATTCAGGTTATGCATCTTTTCCAGGAGTTCCACAGAAGTGATGTTGTGTTGTTCTTAGTATATGACTTAGGCAGCACACGATGTCAATTTGTGCCATTGCTGGTGGTCAAGGTTTTTAAGTTAGGCCCTCTGAGTTTCAATCAGCCAATCACTGTAAAGGCTGTCACTTGAGCCCAAATTCCTAATCAAGGAGTCTGAGAGGGATGAAGAGTGCCTGAGCTGGACTCCTCCACAAAGCTGGAAAGCAGGCTGCGATGTTTTGAGCTCTTGGCTATTGCGCTTTTGGTACCATCCTTTCTTCAACTAGCTAATGCCTGGCACATGAGAAGTGATTTAATAACTGCTTATTGAATTAAATCAATGAATGAACAATCCATCCTCCTTTCTTTTAGGTACCTGTGGCATGTTCCATTGACATTCATTACCAGCAAATCAGACTCAGTCCATAGATTTTTGCTAAAGACAAAAACAGGTAATTTATTGTGGAAATAACTACGTTAATTCAAGAAGGGAACTGTGGAAATGTGTAGGATTTAGATACTAAGTTTCTTTTGCTATTTATCTTGGTTAAAACAAAAAGGATCAGGTTAACCTTTATCTTGAGCAAATCTTTGGCTTTCAATTTCTAGTGAAGAATATAGGTTTGAAAATACTGTCTGGTTGCCAAAAAAAAGACCAATATCTTGCCAGATAGAGATTAAAACAGTTGAGTTATGTAATGCTAAAAAGGAGGGATTACTAATGAAAAATCCCCATTGCTTTGTTAACATTGCAAGGTTACGTGGTATGTATGGCCTGAAATGTGGCTGCATTCTTCTCATAGATCTATAAATCTCACAAAATTGGTGTCTAAAACTCGGGTTGGCTTTTGTCTATTGGGATGTTTTTCGGTTTCTAAAAGAAATGTGTTCAATATGAAACTCATTTCAGTGTTAAAATTGTTCAGTATTAAACTTGCCTTTAGTTTTCTTGTCCAGCCTCTGATCAGCAAATCTTTCACTAGTCAAGAGAGAAAGTGGAGCTATGATTTATTTTATTTGCTCTAGATGTGCTCATCCTCCCAGAAGAGGTGGAATGGATCAAATTTAATGTGGGGATGAATGGCTATTACATTGTGCATTACGAGGATGATGGATGGGATTCTTTGATTGACCTTTTAAAAGGAACGCACACAGCAATCAGCAGTAATGATCGGGCCAGTCTCATTAACAATGCATTTCAGCTTGTCAGGTAAAACAAGCTCCTCAAAGTCTTGGTTTATTTCTGAAAGCAGCTGTTATCATTCTTGATTTCTAACGATGAAAATGATTGATTGCTAATAAGTTGAAGGGTGTTTTCCCCTAAGTTCTTCTAACAATTCAAGGTTGCTTTTAGCCTTATGATTGACCTCCTGTCTGTCTGCTGAGTAAGGTAAAGGAAGGACTCTGTATCTTAATCTTTTTCATTAACAACTCAGATCAGACTGAGGCAAAAGTGTAGGAAAGTAGGAGACCAACATCCTGGAGAGGCCTTTTGCCCAGTCCCTAAAGCCTTGTCCCGCAGTCTTGTCTGGCCCTGCTGTAACAGATCAGGTTTTTCCCCTGCTGGGTCTTGGACCATCTCGAAACATTCTTAGAAGACCAAGTGGCCCGGGATCAAGTTGGTTTTACATCTCCTGGATTAAAGGAGGGATTTCCCCCACTCCCAAACTGGATACCTGAACTTCATAGCATCTTTATGGAATACAGCTCATAAAATATGACCCAACCAAATGACTTTTGAGTTGTTGAGGATAGTGTTCACTCTCTAATATTTTTCCCCATGACAATGGTTTTTAAGGAAATGGCCCCCAAGCCTAAAACTTCAATATTTAGGCAGAACTGAAGTCCTAAGGGGAATCACCCAGGTGGGAAGGAATAATTCTATAATTCTCCTTATAATGCCATGTCCCTCTGCTCTAAATGTTGTTTTTTTTTTCTGGGTCTCTTGAGGTGACAAAAAGCAACGGGAAACAAAGATAGGGGTTGCTTATCTAGATTTTTCTGCCTACCTAAAAATATTCCACTCCGTAGCATATTATTGCTTAAATCTTAGAGGGTTTTGTGTTTACTTATATAAGCATATGCCCTATAAGGGCATATGAAGGGTTTATATCTATATTCAGTTTCTTTTTTAATTGGAGACGAGGATGTGTTGACTCTGGGGACTCATGCTTTTGACTGAGTGGCAGTCTCCCTGACCAGGCTTCCTATACGATGTTTTATAGAGGGACAGATGTGGTCAACTTCCATTTTGTCTTAACCACAACTTTGCCATAGCTCTACTGTTATTTGAGCAACTTCCTCCACGGTGTAAACATGCCACATGTTGTGTTACATGAGACAGAAGAGATACTAATATAAAGGTCATTATTTATAAGGGGGCATTTATATCTGATGGAATATTTTGCTGGAAGATTGTTAAAATATCTTTTGAAACAAAAGTTGATTTCCTGGATTTTCTTTTAAACTGCTAACCATGGTGTCTCTTGACCAGCATTGGAAAGCTCTCGATTGAAAAAGCCTTGGATTTAACCCTGTACTTGAAACATGAAACTGAAATTATGCCTGTGTTCCAAGGTTTGAATGAGCTGATACCTATGTATAAGTTAATGGAGAAAAGAGATATGAATGAAGTGGAAACTCAATTCAAGGTGAAAGCCTGAAATAAATGGAATAGTTATATAACTGGTTTGCTTTTGTGTGAGTGTGGAAAAGTGATTGTGTATATATATGTCTTGATATAGGCGAAAGAAAAGTAAATAAAAATTAATTCAGTATTTGGATTGACTAGCAAAGATTTTGGTGTTATTTTGGCACTAAAAATAGGCATGGCACTGTGAGATTCTATACTTAATTTCCATAGATTTATTATTCCTTTCCTTTTGCAAATTCTTTATTTTAATTCTGTGTTATGAAGGTTGCTATTAAGATATTCTGAGACTCAGGTCCTTGAGTAAGAGGCACAAAATTGTTATTTTTGGCAAAATATCATGAAGTTCTGTTGTATAAATTGCTCTTGAAATTTAGTCATATAAACTCCCTCTTTTAGTTTGCTTTAAAAGTGGCAGTTCATCCTGATTTTAAGTAGATAAAGTTATATTTATAAAAGTTTGTTATGCAAGTACAAAAATCATTCATCATTACTTCTTGTTTTTGACCCCTTTTATAATTAAACATAAACAGAACTGCATGGCTTTAAAGATAAGAGTTGGATTAAGCTTTTAAAAATATTCCCCATCACCTGAGGGTGTGTTGAATTACATAAAGCATGAGGTGACCTGGGACAGTCCTGGTGACATGTGTGGCTTTCCCTCAGTCCTTTCTCATCAGGCTGCTGAGGGACCTCATTGATAAGCAGACTTGGACGGACGAGGGCTCGGTCTCAGAGCGAATGCTGCGGAGTCGGCTCCTCCTCCTGGCCTGTGTGCGCAAGTATCAGCCCTGTGTGCGGAGGGCAGAAGGCTATTTCCGAGAGTGGAAGGAAGCCAACGGAAATCTGAGGTCTGTCCTTACCGAACAACCAGTTGGTTCATATAAAGGGTGTCTTCTCTCTTTTCCATCATCAGTGCTAAATGTTGGGAGAAAAAATAAGTCAAGACAAGTCTCCCCTGCCATCCTTTTTTTGGGAAAATAAATTGCTTTTTAAGATTTTTTTATGTATCTCTTTAAGTATCTCTAAAACTTTCTGTTTTAAGAAATGCTAGGAGGGAACTTCTATGCACAAAAGTCAAATATCTGGAGAGTTAGAATGGGATTAGAATAATTCCCATTTTATATAGCCAAGAATACAAAACCTTATCAGAACTGAGACAGCTGTACTGGACAGAAACAGAGGCAATGCATCTCATAGGAGCTACTTTGGGCCTCCAAAGTCCCTGACGGGTTGAGGTGGGTATATAGCAGTTGCTGATACTGTCTGAGCAAAGCAGGATCCTCCTGTAACTGGAAATTTATTCTTAAGCCCTTTCATGTTTGGGACTTAAATCCCATCCAGGAAATATTAAGCCAGCAATATACATGCTTCCATTTAAAATACTTACAAACGGTGGTCCTATTAGATTCCTGACTTTTGTTCATGGACTACATCTTGAGTCTAGTTCGAATTTCTTTCCTTTAGACTTGAAATGATCACCTATTGAGTCACCCAGCATCATTCAAGTATGTTAGATCTGTAGGTATTTATAAAAGTGGCATTTCACATTACATTTTTGAGAAGGCTACTTAAAACCTAATTTTAGATACTTGCCACTTTCATAAAACGTAACTGAAGGAAAGAGGTTATTTTTGTTCATATTTCCAGGCATGCTTCTCTGATCATAGGACCAGTTTATCAATTCATAATTGCTCCCCATTATGCATCCAAACACACTTACTACATCTCAGACTCTCATCGAGTGTGTTCTTTTCTGCAGCCTGCCCAACGATGTGACCATGGCAGTGTTTGCTGTGGGTGCCCAGAACCCAGAAGGATGGGATTTTCTTTATAGTAAATATCAGTCGTCTTTGTCCAGTACTGAGAAAAACGAAATTGAATTTGCCCTGTGTATGAGCCAAAATAAAGAAAAGCTTCAGTGGTGAGTAATTCATTCACGTTCATGTGGCCAAGAGGAATTAAATTAGATCAGATCCTTCTGGCATCTATTTCTGTTCTCTTGGCCAGGAATTGCCTATTCTGCTGGGAACATTTATGCAAGGCACACATCTAATGAGTGTGGTAAATAATTAGGGGGAAGCAGGTGTTGGGAAACATATTTAAAGGAGTATATATTTGTGTATCTTTAACACATTTAGAAATATATACTAGATAAACCTTTCTTAGCCATTCTGAGCAAATGAGAGACTATATGAGAATGGGTCTTGTAAACACTATATAAATGTTAGTTTTTATTATTCCATAGCTATCGCGAGTTTATCAGGGCTCTGGTTACCTATTTCTCTTTTTGGTCTTTATTGGCAGATGGGCTTTTTTCTTTTACAAATTATTTTATTGAAATCGTTGATAACTTTTTCAGGGCCTATTCATGGCTAACATTTCTTCTCTTAATCATTCTAGGCTACTAGATCAAAGTTTTAAGGGAGATATAATAAAAACTCAAGAGTTTCCAGATATTCTTATGTCTATTAGCAGAAACCCGGTGGGATATCAATTGGCTTGGCAGTTTCTGAGGGAAAACTGGAATAAACTTGTACAAAAGTAAGTAGTGCCAAAAATTGTGCCGTGACTGGAAAAGTTCCCTATGTTTTAAGCTTTGTTTGTAAAACAACAGGGAGAATCTAGAGGGATTTTTTTGATTGAAGATAGGAAGTAGAGGTACTTAGAATATCCTTAGAAAATATGAAACTTGAATTCAGTGCTCACTAATGAATCTGGATAGGCCAGTTTTCTATTCCATCTGGAATAATCCCTTCCTGCACCCACTGACCTGTTTGAAACCTTCCTCCCCACAGGGCATCCCACGTCTCTCCTTAGCAGTCTTGCTTGTTTGCATCTGCCCTTGTCTAATTCTTGTAGCATTTACTTCTATCATTTTCTTTTAGGTACTTAATCTTTTATTCAGCTGTTTGTGTGCTTACTTTTTACAGCTAGATCTCAACCCATTGGAGGGTAGGGATCATGTCTTATTTCTTTTTCATGCCTAACCAGTTTTTAGTTACATGCTGTAACATATATCAGGCACTTAAAATTACATGTTGAATGAATAAATATTTCACAATACATTTTGCAATTTCCATTTCTAGGTTTGAACTTGGCTCATCTTCCATAAGATACATGGTAATGGGAACAACAGATCAATTCTCCACAAGAGCACGGCTTGAAGAGGTAAAAATAAAGTCTTTCTTTTTAAACTTAAGTGACAATTAGCTAATAAAGACGGGGTAGACAAAATACTTTAAGGGTGTGATGAGTTAGAAATGGATGTTGTCACTGAGTAGGCATTTTTTTGGATGCTATGGTGTTTTTGACATAAGTAAAAATCAGTTAGAAATAGACTATTGAAAACTCTGCTTCTTCCCAAACATGTTAAGAAGTCTTAGCTCTGGACAACAATATACATGCTTCCATTTAAAGAAATGCTTATAAGTGGTGGTCCTATTGGATTCCTGACTTTTGTTCATGGGCTACATCTTGAGTCTAGTTTGAATCTGCAATCTAGATCCTCCACCATCCAAGTTCATGATTTCCTATTACTTATTTATATACCATCTACTTTCAGAAAGAATTTTAGGCAACGTGTAAGGTCCGTATATAAAAGAAATTGTTAAAGAACAAAAATCTGCATAATAGACAGAAAGAGGTAACTGTAGGAGGGATATATGCTGAGGATAATTTCTTGCAGTTGTGCCCTAAATTTAAGCACAGCTTCCTAGCAGTCAAGGAAAAGTGAGAAACAGTGTGAGTTATTCTCATTGTCTGGTTAAGAGGGAACCATGGAACATACAGGTTTTCCACAAAAGCAGACTTTTTTCCCAGTCTTAAACTCTGAGGAATTTGATGTATGGGTCATTGTTTTGTGGTGTCCCTTTAATGTTTTCTACAGTAAAGTTGTAGAACAAATTTTACATGGCTTTAAAAATATGTTGCATTTAGATAAAGGCTGAGAGCCTAGTAATTTTTTTTAGGAATAGTTCCATTGTGTAGTCTGGTTATACCACGATCTAGCATGATATAAGGAGAGTGCTTTGAAAATGCAAAAGAAATGTCACATCCCTTATCTTTGCTCCAGTTTTCAGTGGCCTCACCCAGGCTTGTAAAATTGCACATAATAGTTCAATCTTGAATCTACCGAGGTCCACAGCAGAGGTATTCCGTGATGACTGAGGAGCCATCCACAGGCTGTGACCAGCTAGACAGCTGTCCATGGACCAGATATGTAGCAACAGAACATTTCATTCATTCACTTGTTGGTTCGTTTTCTCGTTGATTCATTTGAGACATATTACATTCTTACGATACGGCAGGCATGGTTTTAGGTTCTGGGGCTACAATGATGAACAGAACAGACAAAGCCCCTGTCCTCATAGAGCTAAAATTCTACTGGGGGAATCCGACAATTACAGACAAATCAACCAATGTCAGGAAGTTACATGCTCTGAAGATGAATAAGGCAAGGTAAAGAGAGAGAGTGACTGGCTAAGGGATGGTGCTATGTTCTGTGGGATGATTAGGAGACATTTGAGCAGATATTGAAGGAAATGCAGATATCCAGGAGGAGAGTGTTGTGTGCAGAGGAAACATCAGGTGCAAAAACTCTGAGGCAGAGCATGGAAATGAAAGAGCCTGAGGTATTGTCAGAATGGAGAGTGTTCTACTGACATTTAAAATGTAGGAGTCAGCCTGAGCCCTTCCTTCCACTCATATCCCCTTCATCCCTGAATCTTATTGGCTCTGCCTCCAGCATATGTACCATATCTATGCCCTTCGCTGCCCTTCCCCATCCAAGCCTTTCTCATTTCTTGCCTGGCCTATGGCGATAGCCTCCTAACTGGCCTCCCTCCTGCCACTTTGCCAATACCAAACCATTTTCCACAAGTCAGCCCATGACTGACGCCCTCTTGAAACCCTGCCTATTGCTCTTACAGTAGATTTCAAACCTCTCCTTCCTATGTGCACAAGACTGTGATGACCTGGCTCCTCCTGCCCACCTCTCCAGCGAATTCTCACATGCTCTCCTGTGTTCACTCTCTCACAACACTCCAGCCACTCAGCCTCCTCCTGCTCGTGGGCCACCAGGTGTTTCTCCTGTCCCTAAGCCTCTGCATTCTTTCTTCTCTCTGCCTGGCTTGCTCTCTCCCCAACTTTTCACTGGAAAGGCTCATTTTATCCTTTAGAGGTCTCAGCTCAAATGTCACCTTCCCAGAACACTCTGTCTAAAGCAGGCCACCTCCTCCCTAGTTACTGTCATAGTCCCTATTTATTTTCTCCATAGCAGTATTTATAGTAATCATAGTTTACTGCTTGTCTCCCCAGGTAGACTGTAAGCTCCCTGAGGGGAGGTGCTTGCCTGATTCACTGTGTCATCCTCAGTGCCTAGCACAGTAATTAAGCCAGAGGGATACATAAGTACCAGAGTAAATATTCATGAATAAATGGATGAGGTTGAGTCCTTGATACATGCTGGGTGTTAGATTCAGCACTTTACCCACATAACTACATCCTTACTAACACTCTGCCATGTAGAGATTATCCTTATTCTACAAATGAGGAAACTGAGTCCCAGAGAAGTTAAGGTCAAACAAATTAGTAGGATAAACCTGTTTTTCTATCCCTATATCACACTGCTTATTGCTCAGAAAATGATCTCAAAGAACCAGGTTTGAGTCAAATAATCAGTTGAGATGCTGCGTTTTCCAAGGAGATGAAGACACAGATAATTTTGGGTCAGGAAAAGTTTAAGGGCAAGGGTTAACAGCTGGCTTTGTTATAGCTCTTGTAGGTGTGTTTTTTAATGGTACTATCATGATGGGCTCCTTCAGGATTTATTAAATAATTTGACCAATTAGTAAATTTTTGATGTGGTTTGACTATTGAAGACTGCACCCAGAGTGATTTTTTCAGTGAATGTTACTCTTGAGTTCCGAGAGTATGAACAGTAGTTTGAGCTACAACTGAAGGTGGGCCAGTGAAGCAGGATAAGTGTGCTCCAGGCTGCCACATCAGGAGGGCATGCCTTTAGCTCACTGACAAGTTGTACAGAGATATAATTTTAAAACAACCCTGCATCATTTAAAATTGGAATTTGATCTTTCAAAAGCCTATCCTTAACCCCCCTATTCTCAAACTTATAATATGATATTATGACATGGATTTTAAGGAATTAACTGTCTGGAATCCATGCTGAATAAATAATACATCTTGGCCTAGACTGGCTTCCTGTCTACAAAATCAAAAATTGATGGATTAATACTGCGAACGCTTATGGGAAAAAGTTAAGAACGCTTTAAGGTAAAACAGAGTAGTACAATGGTCAACGCTGGCAGAGCCAACCTATTCCTCATGTGAGCTTAAAGGGGTTAAGATACCCAGCAATGAAACATCAACAAAGATATTTTCAAGGAGATAGCCAAGAGTCTCTTATCTCTTTAAAACCACAGGAAACTTTGTGTGGATTTTATCTTGAGGGAACAATACATGAATTGTCGATTAGGATAAAAAAAAAAATTTGGCACGGTTTGGGGTATTACCACCATAACTTGCTAAGACCCCCATTCCCCACAGCATTTCTAGAATAACATACAAGGCCAGGCCCATAGAGAAAGACTGCACTTATGTGGTTGAAACTGTTTTGCTTGGCAAAGAAGATACTCTACACATTCTGCTTTTTAGATATCACATTTAAAAAAACTAAGTTTGCATCTGCGTGTATATAACAGAATACACATTAAATAGACACACTCAATTAAACCTCAATTATAAAATGGTAAACAGTGAAGCCTTTTAGAATCTGGCAACTGTGAATATATAAAAAAACTGCAGAGAAAAAACACAAAACTTGACATCATGAGGCATGAGCTCATGTCATATAGCTTAAGTTTATGTGTACATAATTGTATCCAGACACCTGGCGCCGCCTTCTATATAGAATTTTGACAAATGCTGGAATTTTGGCTTCAGTTTTCTTTTAACTAGCTTGATCTTCTATTTGCGTAATGTAATAAAAACAATTTTAAAAAAACCCATCTTTTCCTCACAAGGTAAAAGGCTTCTTCAGCTCTTTGAAAGAAAATGGTTCTCAGCTCCGTTGTGTCCAACAAACTATTGAAACGATTGAGGAAAACATACGTTGGATGGATAAGAATTTTGATAAAATCAGAGTGTGGCTGCAAAATGAAAAGCTTGAACTGCTGTAACAATTCGTTCCTTGCCGGGTCCTGTGATCTATTATCACCCACATTTTGTTGAATGTGAATATTTTCAAACTAGAGATGGCTATTTTGGCCCCTGCTGAAGATACTTCCTTTTCCTTCTACTTGTTTGACGGTTCCTGCGAAAAGACTGGCTGTTCATTTTTCATCCATGGGTTATTGCCACCCCATGTTTCATTTACAGCTGTTGCCCCGCAATGTAAACCCAAGTGGGGGTTCTCTACTACGGAGGAGTAAAGTACCTTATTCTTCTCATTTTATGTTTTATACTTAAGCCCGGAGAGGTCTCCAAACCCCTGCTCCCCACGTGTTTGTCATTCATAAGCTGTTTTGTCTCCTTGCAAGACTGTGAATAGTGGGGGTCACTGAACAACGAACACTTGGATCAGCGACTAAGCCAGGACGCACCTGACCTGCTGTCCACCTTTCTCTTCCTTGCTCCATGCCAGGGGGCTGATTTGTAGGCCCACATCATCAGGCTTCCTTGCCTTCTGGCTTTTGTTCAATCTCTAAGGAGGGCAGATTAGAGCTGGGGCGCGGGAGACAGTAGGTGGGGTGTTTATTCTCCTGGTTCCTTTGCAGGTTGCTTCAGGCTGGCCTCCACCAGAGGTCTCAGCTCCAGAGAGGCAGCCCTCTTTTCCCACACAGCCTTCTCCCTCTCTGCATTCTAGTAACTGCCCCTCCTCTCATCCCTTCAGGATGAGGGTGAAGCGGGAGCCTGGCTTTTACTAGTCCTGCCTGCACTTGTGGTTTCCATACATCCTGCCCACACCTTTATTAAAACAAACAAAACAAACCTATTATAGAACCCTCCTCCGATAATCCTAATTTGAGTGTGTCATCTGTTTCCTCAGGGACCCTGACTGATACAGTGTCCCTTCTGAAAAAGCAGAGTGCATTCAGGGCTAAAGGAGAAACCTTTTATTTGAAGTTGAACCTGAGTTGTTGATCCTTAGATAGGTGTTGCTTCCTCTCCCTGCTCGTTACTTGACCTAGTTTATATAATTCCTAAAAAACTCGTTATCGGCACTTATTACCCAAAAATCATTGAAGAGTCTCCAATAAATGCTAACGTATTGTGAAACTGAAAATATTTGCTTTGGGCCAGCCCCGTGGCTTAGCGGTTAAGTGCGCGCGCTCCGCTGCTGGCTGCCAGGGTTCGGATCCTGGGCGCGCACCAATGCACCGCTTGTCCGGCCATGCTGAGGCCGCGTCCCACATACAGCAACTAGAAGGATGTGCAACTGTGACATACAACTATCTACTGGGGCTTTGGGGGAAAAAATAAATACAATTTAAAAAAAAAAAAAAAATATTTCCTTACATTAGCCTAAATGAGGACAATGTGTTGTCTTTGAAGTCTTTTATGAGTTTTCTTAACATATTGCAAAATTATCAGATAAAGGACTATGATATAAAAAATGTCAAAATGTGTTGTTCTAATATGGACTAGAGTGAATTTTTCTGGACATAAATGTGTTTACTATTCTATTTTTATACATATTGTGTGGTTTGATGGTTTGAGAAAAACGAACAAATCACTGGTAATTTCCACCCCTACATATTTTCCTTCTAAAAAACATACAAAGCCAAGATTTTAATGTAAAATATTTTTAATTGTATTTTATAGCTTGATTACTGAAACATGGAAATAGTGATTTTCAGTTTTGGTCACCTGAGGAACCCATTTTCATTTACTTTTGGAGAAGTCCATTTTCTAAATAGACACCATATTGCCACAATGTGCAAAACCCTTTTTGGTAATAAAAAATTTTCTGTTATTTACCTCCAAGCAGATATTTGCAATTATTTCCTCCTAATTAGATGGATAAAAAAGGACTGATTTGGATCCTGTAGCTTACACAAGCCATCATTAATTATTAGCAACACAAGCCATCATTAATTATTAGCAAACACCCAAGTCTTGAAGACATTTCTGTTTACTTTTACAGGCACTTCTTAAATCTCTGGATTTGGGTATGTCATTTAAAAATACTTCTATATATGCATGGAAATTAATAATACTGCAGCCATATCCTTGCAAACACATCTGTCAATGTCAAAGGTTTCATTTTTTTTTAACAACAAAAAAATTATAGTACCCAAATGGAACTAGATACATATTCAAAATCCCTCAGGAAAAGTGTTTATTTTCTTGTAGTACCTTGAAAAGGTCTGTTTAGTCACCATAACACTGGCTTATATTTCCCAGATTCAGAATCATAGGATAATGCCTGCATCTCTGATGAGATAGACATAGCATTTAAAGTGGGTGAAGTTTGAAATCCTATAGGTATGTGCATGCTTTTTAAAGAGAATTTTTAGAGTATTAACAAAATCTTCCCATTATAAGCAGTGCTGTTATTTTCGCTTGCCCCTCCATTAGACACTATTGGTCATGTTACTTCTTTCTAGTGAAGTCAGCTAAGTCCTAATAAAAACTTTTAAACAGACCCTAAGGAAAGCTGTGCTCTCTGAAACAAGAAATTCCAAATCAGCTTTATGATATGTACCTGGTCTTTTCCTGCATTCCCTACTAGGAAATAAGGATGAAATTAAATATTTTTCAAAATCCCATCAATGATATCAGTTCTATATTCATAAACTATTCAGAAAGATCTGAGAAACCATTCAAAGTTGCAAGACATCAAAACCTAGTTCTTAAATGGCTGTGGGGGAAAAGCAAATTTTTAAATTTCAGATATATATACTTTTACAGCAGAAGTTTGTTTTTGTATTTGGTAAACTTCCATGAAGCCAGATGCTGTACAGTGCAAAGACTCATGTGGCAATGACTTGCAGCAAACAATTGCTACTCAGGTTTGATATAGAGAGAATGGAAGCACAGCTTAACACAGTAAACCAACAGAGTTCAAGCCATATGAATAGTCTAAGAATTAGATTTTTTTTTTATTCTTGGAACTTGCTATGCAGTGACATAATAGTCTGCATTTTGCTCTTCTGACTTGATTCAAGTCTCAGTATGTTTTGTGCTGGCTATAAGGTGCAGAAAAGTCCTAACCTCTGGCAAAGAAGATTTCAACCTGAAAGGGGGTGTGGTGCTTCCTGGTCTGTCCAGGTTATCTATTAATTTATTATTAGCAGCCCAAGAGGAGATATGTGCCCAATGTACAATATTTTGTTTGACTTATAAACATTAACCCAAAGAAACATCAAATATGGTTCAAAAGCTCAAGAGGAAAGGGGTAATGAGAAATCAGAACACTGAAGAATGTTCAAAGCATTGTTTTCCAAATGCTAACGACAACAAAAAAATTAAGTGCTAACTGAAAATACTAATGAGATTTACAGGCACTGTGTAGAATGTGCAAAAGTTTGCAAAGGTTTTTTCCTTTTCTCATGTGTGTTGCTTTAAGAAACTATCAAATATATCTCCTAGAAATATAAAGTTGCTTTCTCTCCCAACCCAAGGCAATTTTTAAAAATTCAAAGTTTATCAATACTCAGTACAATAACACAGGTGAACCAGACAAATTCAATTTCTTTCCAGGAAAAGAATAACAAACCAATGTTTAGGATGTCAAAAGACTCAACAAATACCCCTGTCTAGAAGCCACCCAGAAAAATGTTCTGTTGTCAAAGCCTTTTGTTCTTCAAAAGTCACCATCCACCAGATGAAGATTTTATATGCAGATGCCTTGAAAAGTTCAAAGAAAAAAATCCAGTGAACCATTTGATATGCAATTTTCTTGTTACAGGCATAGTAAATGTAACATTCAGCAAACGCATTGTATAAAAGACAACAAGGAATTTCCTATAAGTAAATATGACAGTGGATGATTAATAGAAAATTTTTATAATTTTGGGGAAAATCTTTGGAGCAGTTCTAATCCGTATGCCTCCCTCTGTATAGGAAATAAAAGTAGACCGTGGTGAGAGCCAAACCCAATTGAACCTACATTTTGATTTCTTTGTGGGCTTTGGTCAGCAAGTGGCTGTAAGCTTTCACGGCTTAGAATAGGACCTCTCTGAGGTTAATAAGAGAAGGGCCCAGCTCTCAAGACAGATCTAGGAGATGCGCTCATCCATACGATCCATTCAGTCACCACACAGTAGAGGCAAACATGGCTCTTTACTTCCCAAAACTAAGCCAAACAAAAACAGTCAATCTTTTCCTGTGCCCTTGTTTCAAAAACCCTGTAATTTCCACCAAACCCTAAGGGGTGCTTCTCCTCACTCCACCATGTGTTGGTATTTGGGGTAATATCAATATAACATTTCACTGTAAGATGTAAACACTAATTTTGCTTTGCCACAGTAACCTGTGTCATGAACATTTGGGTTTCAAAGAGTCAACTAGACTTAGACTGTCATTTTCTTTAAGAGCCTAGCCTAATATTTTAAAGAGCTCTTAATTATAAGATTAATGTTTTTATACATACCAGTAGCACAATCATCCCATTTAGTGCTTTTCAGGGAATTACTCTATATATAGATTTTACAATGTGCATTTCATGCCAATAGTATAAAGAGAACATGAAACACTCCAGAAGTGGACTTAGTTTCTCTCACTTATAACACATAGGTTGGTAGAAGGTACAGTTGTCTTCATTTTCAACAAACACCCAACTTACCAAATAGTGTGAACTTTAACTTGTCTTTTTTTCATCAGCTTTTGGCTTGGAAGTTTCCTTCTTTGCCTAAAAGGGAAAGCAAAACCATCAATGAACTCGTTCTTTTCTGGATTAAGTATGATGAACCAGAAGAGGCTTATGAGGAGATGGGCTTCTCAGAATTAGAGAGTCAAAAGATGGCAACCAGTGGGAGAAAATAAGATGTTCTTCCTAAGTATCTCCTTTTCGTTTAGCCAAAACACTATGAGTTCTTCCCTTTCAAGTTTATAAACTAAAAATAACTTAGAGTGATTCTAAATTTTATACTTTATAGACTTTTTTGAAGGCCAGGATAATTGAAGAAAAAAAAATACATAGGCATTCTTGGATGGTATTGTTCATTCATTCTACAGTGATCCATCCTTTTCCTGTAGTTGGGGGAATTTCTGACCAGCTAATCTACTCAATAGGGTTGTCATGTTCTCTACTTTTTATTAAAGGGTTGATTATGTACTTTGTATAACTGAAATGAGTAAATATTTCATCTGGATAAAATGGCATGAGGAACTAATTATCAATGTGGTTTTCACCATCTTGGTTTTTTTATTTTATAGAAGTATAACTGACATACTAGTTTCAAGTGTACAACATAATGATTTGATATTTGTATGTTGCAAAACAATTACCACAGTAAGTCTAGTTAGCGTCTGTCACCACACATAGTTAAAAAAATTTTTTTTCTTGTGATGAAAACTTTTAAGATTTATTCTCTTAGCAAC